GTCGTTATTAACAGATAGCAAACATGTGTTATCGGCGTAAGTGGTGATGACAGTGTCAGGATGGGTTGGGATGTCAGCTGTATAAACTGTGTAGATGATTGGACCGAGGATACTACCTTGTGGAACGCCTGCAGATTGAGCAAAGGTGGATGAGAAGACATTATTTTGGTTTACTTTGAAGTATCTATCAGTAAGATAGGAGCGGATAATGAGGAAGTATGTAGTGGGTAGGTCTTTTCGGAGTTTGTAAAAATATAAAAGGTAATTCCGTTGTTGCTCGAGTCTATTTTTTTTTAATTCCTGTTAAGATAATGTTACATAATTTTTAGTCCTAGTCAGATTATTTTTAAGAAAATATATCAACTAAGCCCAATTTTTTTTATATTGATCGAGAGTTTTCTATTTTTTTTAAACTATTAAAATATGGCATGATAAATAAATCGAGAAACGAGAAATAATCAATTTAAAAAGAGCAGGAATAATACCCAGGCAAATCACTAATGAGTTATACCAGTTGAAAAAATAGGTAAAGACTTTTTGGAACAAAGAATTATTGCAAAAATAGAAGACCTGGAAGGCCTCTAGAATTTAATTTGAAATGTAACCCTAGCATGTCACAAAATTATAAGAGATCCACAGCTTGGAAAACATAACTATTTAAAAAGAAAATCAGTTACATCTATTGAATTTATATTAATTTGCTCCAACACTGTCATCACCACCTATGCCGATGACACGTGTATCCTATCAGTTAATAACGATCCTTTAATTGCATCCCAAACTCTTCAATCACATATCACAATCCTTGAAGAATGGTGTAAAAATTGGAGAATAAAAATAAATTCCAACAAATCCCATCAAATCACCTTTACCCTCCGTCGTAAACCTATGACCTCTTGTCCTACAGTATCCTTCAATAATACTCCACTTATTCCTGTTGAGCAAATCCGCTACTTAGGACTCCACCTTGACAAACGACTCACTTGGAACCCCCATACCAGACTGAAACGACTAGAAACCGCCCGACGTTTTCGACTACTGCAGCACTTACTAGACAAACGATCTAAGCTTTCAATCAATTATAAACGACTCGTATATATGACAATAATAAGACCTATTTGGACTTACGGAATTGAGCTTTGGGGCTCCACTAAACCATCGAATTCCTCTCGTATCCAATCCTTACAATCCAAAATCCTTCGTAAAATCCTCAACGCTCCTTACTTTGTCACAAATAAAATCATCCATAAAGACCTTAATGTTCCATATGTTTCCGATCTGGCCCAATCCAGATACCTTTCCTTCCATAACAAACTGCAGAACCATCCGAATCCTCTCGTTTCAAACCTTGCTTCCTCCTCGATCCCTGATAACCCTCCGAGGCGTCTGAAAAGAAGATGGCCTCGGTATCTTCTAATATAGAACTTTAATTTGAGTTCTACCAATGGGTAGTTTCTCTTCATGTTGTACATGCCATGTTACCAATTTCTCATTTACTTATTGTATTCTTTATGTAATACAGTTGTAAATTCCATTAAAATAATAAAAAATTAAAAAAATATATTAATTTGCAGGACTGTGAGAACGATTCAAGTCATTGATTCGAGGCATGGCCACAACTAACATACCCGATAGGACCCGAAGGAGGCTTGAAAGAAGCTGGATGAGGGATCTCCTCCACTAACCATAAATATTACGCTCAAGAAAGGAAGGACGCCGCTGGGTACTCCTCTCCCTCACGCCTATTCCAAGACCAATCTTCTACATCTTAATATCACGCTCGCTGATTGTCAGAACTTCTGACAGATGTGAGTTGAAGAATCAAGAAAAAAAATTATTTATTCTAATTTAAATATTCAAAATTTTAAATAATATAAATACTATTCACCGGGAAGGCTAGACACACTAACTTGCCCCATCCTTTCAAAATCAATGGGATATGAATTCGGCAAAACTTGAAGAGATAAAAAATAATGTATAACATGGAACAGTTCAAGCCGAAAGTCTAGACGAGAAGAAGGGATACAATGTCACCAAAGAATCGGACACTGAGTTTTCCCATGAATACCTCATTAATTAATCAGAAGCCGTAATTTACACACATAAACGTGGATAAAACAAAATATATGGTTAGCTGCAAAAATGGTGATACTACTGGTGATATCGATATAGATGGTAATATTTATGAACAGGTAGAGAAATTTAGGTATCTAGGTTCTACGATAACTAGAAAAAACGAAATTGAAGAAGAGATTAAGGTTAGACTGAAGGCGGGAAATGCTTGTTATTTTTCTTTGACAAAACTACTTAAAGTTCGCGCCTCTTGTTCCGGAACTTAAAAATTAGAATCTATAAAACAATTATCTTGTCACCAGTACTTTATGGATGCGAAACTTGGCCGCTTACATTAAGGGATGAGCAGTGTCTTAAGGTTTTTGAAAATAAAGTATTGCGTAGAATATTCGGACCGGAGAAGGATGAGTTAACTGGAGAATTCAGAAAGTTACTTGAGGTAATTTCATCGCGGCGAATCGAAGCGAAGGTGGGAAGATTGCATTAAAGCCGATCTGAAAGGACTGGGTTTGGACGGCGAACTGTGGAGGGAGGTGTGTAATAAGCGATTGGTGGTGTCGGCATCGAACCTTCGGGTTCGCTAAGCCTTTTATTATTATTATTATTATTATTATTTATAATTTACACACATTGCCAAGTACCAAGAACAGTGAAGCATATAGTGTTAGGGTTTAGTAGGTACACTCTAAGAGAAAAACTACAAGTGCGGACTGAAAAAAATGCTGCAAGATGAGGAGAAAGAAATAGGAAAACTGTAAAATATTTCAAATAAATCGATTTATAATAAATAATATAAAATTGAGACAACAAGCCAATGACACTTTCGGATAGAAGCAAATAAATAAGAGATTGAGTCTCTAATGCACGTTTTTTTTTTAAATATAATTATAGATGATGTAAAAACTTTGGTTTACAAATTTATTCAGCCAGCTGTATAATTCTCACTGTTTTTCCGCAAGGATAACCTCCAGTAATATCGATAATGCTCAACTAATCGGACTAGAGTGGCTAATCGATTGTACCGTCTGGACTCTTTGTCTCCCAGCGCCACCGGCCTGACCTCGCCCGTCCGCTTAGTGTTGGGATAGGACACCCTGCCTGTACGACTTCCTTTGTTTTCGATGGTAGCGGATGTAGCGGCTAGCCTGGGGTATGGTTGCGAACTATCGCAGCGATCTAGTTTTGTTGTTATTTATTGATTTATCTATCAGAAACTACTTATAAAACACTTTGTTATATTTTTATATTAATATTTTATTCTATTCTTCACTCCCTGCACATTGGAAAATAGAGATGTTTGCAGCAATGCAGTAACGGATCCAGAATTTAATTTTAGGAGGAGTCGACTTTTTGTCGAACTTTTGCTTTTGGATTAAAATAAATATCGTACCTGCATACTGTAAATGTTCAAAATTTCATCCTCTTTGGAATGAATATCATTTAAAATTCTATCTTGATGCGACACCGTGTTGGAAAGACAAAAAGAGAAAAACATGGCACCAAAAAAAAACACAAATAATAACGACTGTTTTAAACGTTTGTACTCAAAATTGAAATATCATGCAGAATTACAATTTGCAGAAGTTGATAGAGTTTTAGTTAGATATTTAAAAAATATATTTCAATCAAAAGTATTTAAGCATATTTTAGTTATCATGAACCTATTGTTTTATTGTCATCTATAATGATGAGTCAAAGTTGTGAATTCAATTCCTAATTTTAAAGGCTAACATGGAACTCACATACCAGACTTAAAAGGCACGAACTTAACCGACGACTTGGCCAGCTATACAGACTACTTAACAGAAAATCCAAACTCTCAATTGAAAACAAGCTATTAATATACCATAAATACTATTAAGACCATACTGAAACCCATCTTTCCGTACAGACTTGAACTGTGGGGTCCTGAAAGTCCTCCGTATAATAGTCAATGCTCCTTATTATGTTACAAACAAAACCTTACATCATGACCTTCACATCCCTTATGTCCTTGACGTTATTCCATCTCGATTCTCAAATTTTCACCAGAACCTAACTCACCATCCTAACCCCTTACCACAATCCTTATCCAGCTCTAGTAATCCCTACAACCCTCCTCGAAGGTTGAAACGGCAGTGGCCTCGAGACCTTTTGTAAATACACTCAGTGGCAATGGCCAGTATCTCCATTCAAGTCATGAGCCTCTGTTGCTGTATCCCCTCCCTCAGTTTCCACTGGACTCCAATGCCGGCGACGCGGCTAAAAGAGAAGCGCTGGGATCTCTTAGAGTCTCGATAGTCCTTCACACGTGGAGGAAAGGGCTGGACTCGGAGCTCCCTTGGCTGATTGTAAATAATGTAAATTATTAATTATATAAATTAAGTGTGAATGTTTTTCTTTTTTATATGTTTATTTGTTTTACTTATGACTTATTTAATTTTCTAAAAACTTTTGTATTTTTTTTTTAAATTTGATTTCATGTTACACTTCTTTCGTTTTATAGTTCTTTTTTCTTTTTCTTTTTTTTTTTTTTTTTTACTTTTATTGTATTTTTATACATAGTATGCCTCAATCAGCTTTAGTACTAAGTGCCCTTAAGTGTGGCAAAATGTATTATTTCCCAATAAAAAGATTTAAAAATTGAAATTCCTGGGTTATCAAAAAAGCCATGTGGCCCACTTGCCGGATTAGTTATCCCCTCCCCCACCAGTATCCAGTACCGCTAGCTACATAAAAATATATTCGAGTAACGCTTAAACCAGTATAAATTAATAAATAAGTTATTTTGTTAATGATTTTTCTTCTTGATTCCTAACGGAGTCTTCTGAGTGTGAATCGGAGCTATTCAGAATATTTCTATCGGATCGGATAAAATATTTGAAATTCTATTCATCAAAACAGGTAAGCTCAGAGCTTTTTCATAGCAAGCTGGTCGATATGAGAGAATGCAGAGTCTACTAAGCGCCGTTATTGCGGTGGGAGATTCACTCAATTTCGACAAAGAGGCTTCGCTAAAGAGGAGAGAGAGAGGAAGAGATGCTCACAGGAGTTTATTGGAAAGTACAAACCTTTGTTCCCGACCAAAAGGTTTTGAAGGAGGGGGGGGGGGGAGAGCGCAGGTAGGGTTGAAAAAGAAACAAAAGCAAATTAGATTATGGCGCTGCCTTTGATCTCGTGAGGTATCTTAGGGACAAAAATATTTGTGTTCGTTTTTCGAATTCTGAAACGTAAAACCTCAAATTTTAAGGCGGGTTAAGCTTTTGAATTTTTTGTACGATAACAATGGTCCATTCTTGAAAATAATAAACCAAAAATTTTAAATATAATATCATAAAAACTTTTTGAAAAATAGACAAGGACGATTTCAAATTTACCCTCAAACTCAGGCACTCTGTACGAAACTTACTGACAAAAAAAAAAGATAAAGGACCACTTCAGAATCAGATAAATTTAATTTATAATATCCTTTGTAAAAACTGTAAAAAGTCATATATAGGTGTGACATCAACCGATGTAAAAACACGAACGATTACACAGAAAAGTAAATTTTTCTACTTCACAACATCCGTAACCAACGTTTTATTTATTAAGGCCAATGATAAAAAATAGGTCTAATACGACCTCCTTAGAAAGATGTGCTGCTCGTGAAGTCCCTTTTATCATTAATCTTAATAAATTTAATTACTGTTTCCTCAAATATATTTTGTCTTACTTTACGATGGTGTACTTACAATTGAATCGGTGAGTGCAGAAACCACTTCAGTCAAAAAAATTTAAAAAATCGTTTTTTATGAAAAGAATCATTGAAAGGCAAGATGCGCGTTGAGTAGTTCCGTAAATACATGACGTATTTTTCGATCATTGAGTGCATAAATAACATGAGTCAGTGACTGATGTGGTTTCTGCACCCACCACTGTATCGCATGACCAGCAGAGATGGGCATATTTATATTCAAAATATAAATATGAATACCACTTATATTTATGGCACTTATGAATATAAATATACTTATATTCATAAAAAGAAACATGAATACAGATGATACGTATTCATGGCTGTATTGACTTTTATCAAAATGAATACGCTTAAATTTACAGAAGTGATTAAAAATATTTCCACACAACCTTCTTAATGAATACTCATATTAGTTTAAAAAATATATATTAACTACATATACAATTCTATTTTTATATATAGCATTATATTTTAAAACATGTTATGTTAAACATAATTCGTAATTCTTAAAATTGTTGTAAAATAAATTAAATTAAAATTGATATAAATAAATGAAATTGTAAAATAAATTAAAATTAAGATAAATTGTTGTAAAATAAATAGTTAATTAAAAAATATAAACTTTAAATGAATGGTTACCTTTTTTCAAGTGTTCCAGCTGTCTGTAAATACAGTTGAGGGAAGAAACAGCATAAGTCTTATAAATAAATTTTGTTGAGCCTAAGTTATGTCGAAATTAGGTAATTTTTGTATAAATGTTTGTATAAATGCATGTTATGACAGAGGCAAAAAAAGTTCAAATGTATGAAAATTTGGAGGAGTTATGACGTTTTTCTCTCTCCTGAAAAATTTGAAATTTGTGACTGAAGTGGTTTCTGCATTCACCGATTCAATTATCTTAAACAGTTTTTAAGTAATCCTTTATTATTCAATAAAAATCGTGACTACCTTCAGGAAGACACAAAATTATTCTTAACTTCTTTTCCGTTCGGGATCGGCCCATGTGTTTAATGAACTATTTTAATAAAAATTTGATGTTAATTAAGAACTGCGACACCCTGTGTAATATGAGAGTTCTCACATTGGTATACTAGTAAATACATAATGCAGGAAATATATGTATATAGTATATAATAAAAGACAGAGAAAACGAAAGAAGAATCTTTAAAATAAACCCTGACTAAATGAGGGAAGGTGATCTCGTTGAAGTATTCTTTTCCTGATGGTTAGGTCCTCGAAGGAATCCCTTTGTGGATCCGTTACGTGAGGCACAATTATACCAGGACGCCTTCAGCTCGGGCCAATAACAAGGCTCCTTCGATAAAAAAAAAAAAAAAATAAACCAATAATAAAAATAACGACTGTATAACGCACTAGTTGTGTAACTAATTGCGGAAACATTTTTTATTTATATATCAATAATATTCTTGTTTCCTTTCCTATATAAAAGAATAAAAAACACTATATTTATTCCAGTATTATATAGAAATAAATTAATGAAATATATTATGAAAAAAAGAAATTAATTTTCATTTTTAATAATAAACTAAAATTTTAAATGTCTATATTTTTACTAAAAATGGACTGTTTTCAATGATTTTTGTATTTTTTTTTTTTTAGGCATTTGGAAACTTTCCTAATTATCATGGACAACACACAAATAAAAAAACCAACAAATCAGTTGACTATTCAAATGATGAAATACAATAATTAAAAACTATTAAGTCATAGAACTATTCTACTTCGTTTACTTTTTCAATAGATTTAGTTTAACGTAGTTAGATTATCATGAATAACAAATTTATATTATTGTTATTAACAATATCAACAATAGCAATTTGTTATTTTTGATATCTATATCAATTTTTTAAGGACGGGGTGGCCGAGCGAGCTGACGCTTGTACACAACAGCGCGCGTTACCCGGCAACCTGACAACCAAAGTAATAGATAGAAAAATTATTACAAATTCACTTCCCAGTGTCGGGGGCTTTTAACTCTGGAATTAATCCCCCGTTCTCAGCCCCTGGCCCGGGAAAACCTCGTATAGCCTAAAAGGCGGCAAAACACTGGCGGGTTATTTTATCATTTAACTGCATTTTAGATACACAAGGCTGTGTGGTTGGATTTTTCCAATTATAATCAAACATCTAATTTCTGTAGTTTTTAAATGACAGAAACAAATTTAATTTTCTTAATAAAAACTTGATTATTTTTTAGAAGAATATAATTTAATTTGTTAAGTAGTAATATACTCCTACAATTTTGTCTTGCATTTTATATCTCAGAAGTGAATATATATACTTCTTTACTATTTTCAATTGATTTGTTTGTAGATTCAAATGTTATGTTGATATTAATTAAGGTTTTAGATAGTTTTATTTGTTTTGTATATAATTAGTTTAATTAATGTTTTCTTCTTTTTTTCTATTTAGTGTAACAGATTATTTTGCTTGAAGTAATATTATTTGTACAAATTTTATTCTAAAGCAGCTTTATCCCAGAATAAAGTTATTTTTCTATTTTTTTTTTTTATTCTATAATTAAAGTAATATTCCTAAGTTTATTAACTTTTAAGTAAAAATTACTTTATCCTGAGAGTTAGATGGTATGCATACATGGTTTAATATATATATATATATATATATATATATATATATATATATATATATATATATACGGGGAGCTTTCGAGCTGAAGCCCCCCTCCCTCTCCCTCCCCACCCAAAAATGGTAAAATATAACTGTAAACAGTAAAATATACATATCAATGTTCGTCTAATTACAGTTAACAGGGTTTCAACAACCACTTACCAATCCTTACTAAAGTTATGAAGTTCCTAAACAATGAAAAAATTAGAAATTATATGTCAAGTTTATAACTAATGATCCTTTGCAGATTTATTTTTTTTTTTATTTTAAAAGTTCATTTATTAATTTCAATCCATTTATTGATTTTATTGCTATTTTTTTCAGTTATTTTATTTTTCTATTCTATCTTATTATCTATAAGTGTCTATTATTATCATTATTAATTTATATTTATTTTAAAAGAAGGAGATGGTCCGGAGTGGCGGTTATAAATAGGCTAAATAGTGGCAAAACTATTTTATTAAAAGCCAACGTTTCGACCCGACTTTGCAGGTCTTCTTCAGGGCTATAACGGAGAAGATACTATAGAGAATTGTGAAAGTTACATAATATTTAGACAAAAAATTATAAACAATGTGAATAAACTTATTTAAATTATAAACAGTAAGTACATTAAAATATAAACAGAGTAAGTAACAAGATCCTAACCTGAATTAAATAGATGGTAACAATTATTGTAGAATACTATATAATGTAATATATGCAATTGTGAATATACTCCTACAGATCTACAGGAGAGATATATTTTCCCAAAGGTACTTACTCAGGTTTGCCAGTTCTAACTAAAATCTCTTGCTAAACACACCTCTAAGTCTTTATTTTTATTGTTCTAATTTTTTTCTCTTCTAAACTGAAAGTTGCCCGCTCTAAGTGAAATTCCTAGCTGAACGCACCTCCCTGAAGAAGACCTGCAAAGTCGGGTCGAAACGTTGGATTAAAATAAAAAAATGTTGCCACTATTTAGCCTATTTATGACCGCCACCCCGGGCTATCTCCTTCCTTTATAATGCACCTTCAACTATTAAATATTCTATATTTATTTTATTCTTTATTTTTTTTTTTATGTTTAGTCTTTTTTTATCTTTTTTTTATTTTTTGTACCAATCACCTGAATAGTATAAAAGTAGTGTTATATAGTTTATCGGGCGCTGATGACCTGGATATTTTGCGCCCAGACATCGAAACAAACAAACAACAAAACAATCACTTAAAGACCATTTCATATATGTAGTTGGTTTCTTTCTTTCTTCCAAAGTCATTATCCTAATATATTTATAAAAAATATATATATTTCGGGCTGAAGCCCCCTATCAAAATTAAATCCTGGATCCGTTAGTGTATGTAGATATATGTATATGTGATTACAAACCTGTTCAAGCAGAAGAGATGCAAGTAAGAGGTTTAAAAAAAAATGACAATACTTCAAGCACAGAATTTGCTGTTTTTATTTCATAACATCAATATTATATTACATAATATATTCTATGCGATGATAGACATTTATCATAAGAAATCATCATAGATGGCGACCCGTCCCTAGGATAACCAAGACGAAGATAGTTGCCAGTGGGGAAACAACTACTCTTCCCGAGGTTAGCTTCGGGCAGGCGGCAATCGGAGACGTCTTAATATAAACATATCAAATAGTCAAGGGTTATTGTACCTCAATCGGTACATCTCAAGTCCCATCCGAGGTTACTTGTCAGCGATCTTAAAACGGCGATATTGTTCGCCTAAATACATAATAATATGTTTCCATATATTCAAAAATCTTATCATATCAAGTTACAACAAAGTCTTAGATAAGTATATAGATCTTAAAGGCAGAGATACAAAGTCACGTGATCGTCTCGTTCATTATACCATGATGGTAATTGACTTCGGGCCTACTTGTGAATGTGTCGTATATAATGAACAAGGCAATGCGGCAACCGGAGCAAAAATTATAATATATAATTTAACTTAAAATTATACTTAAATTAAATTATAATTAAAATTATACTAACTTAAAATTATAATAAATAATTTATTTAAGGGCTAATGAATACAGTATGTACTTTTGAAATTGTTGGAGCATAAATAACATCAATGTCGCTTTCTGTGTTGTGGAAACACTCAGTGTTAGTCTGAGACTACTGAGGCATATGTTTCACACGCACACAAAAAACCAAACCCATTATGTTATTTTCACACGTGCTGTTTTAGAGGTTATATAGCTGTATCGCTGATTTTTTTTTTCTTTTTTGAAGCGATGTTGTTTTGCGATATTATACAGCGTATCGAACCCCTAAACAGCGGACAAAACATCAAAACAAAAAAAAGACAACAATCAAACGTGTTAGATAATTTTAGGATCCTGGAGTGGACAGCGGTTGTGTTCTGAAGAGAGGGACCAGAGATGCAGCGATTAGGAGCGATGTAGTTTGCTGCAACCGGCTTAGTATCCAGCCAGTTCGGCGAAGGTAGAGTCCATCTCGTCGGCAAGGCTCTTGTAGCGATCTTTGTTGAGGCCGAGTTCGTCTGCAACAACAACAACAACAATCAGTCAACAAATAATGATTATAGGATCGTTATTGTAGATATATAACAAAAGAAAATAATCGAAAAGCTATTTATCAAGTCTTATAGAACTTTGTAGAAGAATATAGAGCTCTTTTGGTCAGAGATGTTATTATAAAAAAAATATCGATAGTTTTCAAATATTTTTTTTTTTTTGTCTTCATATTTCCATCTGCACCTGTAATGATCTTGACAATAAGCAGATGTGCTGTAACTAATAAGAAAAATTGATATTTTAGGCATGAGGAAAAAAATAACACTTCTTCCTGGTCTTGATTTATTTCCTTAATTCAAGAAAGGAGATCTCTCATCCAGCTCCTCTTTAGTTGTCTCCTGATAGGCATGTCTGCTGTGGCCATATCCTTAATAAGTCCGTGTAGTTTAAGATGAAATCTGGAGTAGAGATCGCGTATGTGTTGGTCGATAGTTGGTTGTCGTAAGTCGTTATGTAAAGTTTTATTGTTTACGTAACAAGGACCTCCTGTTATAAGTCGTAAAATTTTGGATTGAAATGTCTATAGTTTTTGTAAGTGTGTCCGTATGGATTTGAGTAGGTATTGAGTTTTTGTCTGATTTTAAATTTTGATTTGGAAAAAAGTGAGTACAGTATTTTCAGTCGCTTGTTTAAGGCCTGTCGTTTCATTTTGACGTGTGGCTCCCAGGTCATCGAATTTAATATTGAAATAATAAGTGTACAAACCGTGTTCCAGGAATGCGATATCGAGGGCCCAATACCAATATTAATATCGGCCTAAGCCTATCGATGCTTAGTCGATACAATATGCATCTATATTGTAAACATTTTTGAAATATCAATAACTATATAAATATCGATTCTCTAACACATAGGTGCATAAATAAAGATGCTGTTATCCTCTATAAATTAATTAATGGAAATATTCTCATTAACATTAATTGTCAAGTCCTGCCCATCTTCGTCATTCTCAGCTTTCCCCCTCCCCCAGAAATTTTCATTCAACCAATTATGCCTTCCATTTATAAATAGATCGGATTCAGTGAACTGCTAATTTATTTGCATCCTAAATAGGTTTCTTTAACAATTCGTGGTCTTAGCATGAGAAGGTTCTAACTAACAAATTTGGACAAGAAAGTTAAAGTAGAGATTAAGTAATTCAACATATATAGGAGGATATATTAGAAGTCTATTAAATTACGAGATATGGTGTAAATCATTTTATTTTATATATATTTACTTATAACAGTACGATGTCACTTTTTCTAACTCATTAAGACGACAATCATATAGGAATAATTGGAATAAAATTAGAAAAATAGACAACAAAAAACCAATTAAAGTGTGTGCTTTATACCATACGATAAAAATGAAACCATTAACAAAGCGAGATTAATATTATGCAATATAAATTATAAATAATAGCTCATTATAAAGAGGATGAAATTCTGAACATTTCCCTCGCCTACAGTATAGAGGTCCGATCTTTAGTTTCTGACGTATATTTAATCCATATTTTCTAAAAGAACTCATTATTTGATTTTCGACACTATTTTCTCCTTTTCGCCTCTTTAACACGGCTTTTCGTTAAGATAAAATTTTGAATAATGCTCCATTACAGAGAGGATGAAATGCTGAACAATTCCCTCTCCTACAGTAAACAGATCCGATTTTCGGTTTCTGAGATAGTTTAATCCATATGAAAATATACTTCAATTAATCGACTCCAGCCGATTTAACCTCAACGGAGATCTGACGGCTCAATCTAATTAATTCTCCACGTGCATAAGGGGCCTAAAGAAGTTTTCACTTTAAAAATTCATGAAACCAATCTTGTCAAATTTGATGTTTTCGATAGATTCATTCATACAAAGATCGGTATCGAATACCATTAAATTTTCGAAACATATGTTTTCATCACGTGTTTTAATAGTTCATTCAGTTGTTTAATTCATAAAGAAATAGTGACTTATAAATGTATTCATTTTTTCTTATAATTTTTACTTTTATTAACTACAAAAATATTTTGTAAATACTTAATGTAATCATTAAAATTTTCTTAACGCTTCGTCTATCCAAATGGAAAAACTCGTAAGCTGATTCATCCGTTCTTTGTATAACAACTAAAATTAATATTTCACGAAAACTATAATCAAAGTGTTGTTAATTTCTTAAATATATTCTTATTAACAAACATTGAATCTATAACGATTCGATTCGATGTGTTGTAGACAAGGATTATCGATTAAACAAGGTATAGCTGAAAGATTTAATCGTGTTTTTAAAATATCAGCTTTAGTTAATATTTCATGTATTAATTTGATTATTATTTCTAGTAAAGTTTTTGTAAAGTTATGTAATTTATTAATAAAAAAACATATAATACCAATTTATGTATAGCATTATGAGGGCATGTTGAGGCGTTTCCATGACTACTTTGGTAACAAACATCATTTAGTGTGCCAAATTAAAACGCATCATTATAAATACTTTAGGCTATTCTGTAAAGAATTCAAAATGGCCGATTCGGCAATATGGAGGACAAAGTTCGAAGTCTTCGGGAAAGTGCAAGGAGTATATTTTAGGAAGTACACGCAAAGCAAAGCGAACGACCTGGGTATTCGAGGATACGTCAGGAACACTTCCAACGGATCCGTCGAAGGAGTCATCGAAGGAAACGAGATCAAATTTAAGGAAATGAAGAAATGGCTGTCCAAAATCGGGAGTCCAAAAAGCATCATTCAAGGAGCAGTTTGGAAAGGAGAGAAAAAAATCTCTCAGTTTACTTTTAGTGACTTTACCATTAAAAAAGACTAAAGTTATAATATTGTATAAATTCTTTAATATATTTTATTTTTTTAAACAAACATTGTTTTATTTATTTATATTAGTTCCTGTAGTATAACCTAAAAAAAAAAAAAAAAAAAAAAACCTGAACCACTAACCCCATGAAGGGTCTTGGGTTCAGTACAATGTCAGGAAGTACTGTTACAAGGCCAGAGGTTGTGCAGGGAGGTGATGGGGCAATATAATAGTACCAAACTACAAATATAATTGTACCAATTTATAATAACATAAGATAAGTATACTGATAATAACAGTTTCAATTTATTAACAAAGAATAAGCTTTCTACAGCTTAAAGAGGTTGCAAATAGGAGGAAGTTAACACTTAAAACAAGTGAAGTGATATAGCACAATAAGGCATTGAAAGTTGCTTTTTTAATAGAGGAAGATGGGTTCAATATTTCTGAGAGGTTTTCTAATCATGTTGCTTTCGGTAATTTTTATTCTATACAATTGGTATCTCTTAGTTTTTGGGATCTTTAATTATACAAAAGAACCTGTTTAACCCAAAACCTGAGTGTATATTACTGATGCAACACTGTCAAAATTCCCAAATCCTCTCATAAATAATTGACTAAATTACTGCATTCTGTTTGCCAAGATCCACCAACAGAACTAAAGCTTTTATTCACATTGATGCTGAAAATTTCTCTTAAAGTGTTTATTAATCGTACATTTACCTTAATTGTACAATTTAGTAATAATACAAGATAAATTTACTAATATTACTCACTTTAAGAGGAATTTTCAGAATTAGTGTGAATGACAGCTTTAGTTCTGTTGGTGGATCTTGGCAAACAGTATACAGTCATTTAGTTAATTATTTATAAAAAAAACTTTAGAAATTCTGACTACGACCAGTAATATACATCCAAATTTTGGTGTTAACAGGTTCTTTTATATAATTATAAAATAATAATAAGCTTAATACACCTTATAGACAGTGCAAATACTCTTAATTATGCAACTAGAACAGTTAGATGTGTGAGGCCTGAATCTCAAGTGATATCATACCACAATAACTGATTTTCAGTTGATTTTTTAATATCTTAAGGTGTATTTATTTATTTATTTACAGAAAGGCACACTTATTACTTTTCTTTAAGAGATGATTTTGAATGTTTTTAATGTATTCATCTGCTATTAAAATTAATTAGTTTCTGTTTTCAATTATATAAAAAAACCTTATGACACTTAAACCTAGGTCTCGATTACTGAAGCAATATATGCTGTAAAAATTTCTTAAATTTTTTGTCAATGTATAATTAAAAGACTGTATAGAAAAAAAAATTGATAAAACGCTGAATTTGTTGAGAATTAAACCAATTTACAGAGCTACACCATCAGAACTAAAGTTTTGGTTGTCATTCATACGGATGATTTGTCTTTAAGTGTCTTATTACTGGTACAGTTGTCGTATAATTAAGGAATATACTTTGCTAGAAAGGACTCATTACAGGTATCTTTAGCACCAGAATCCAACTATGGTATCAGTTTCAGCTATACCAAAAGACATATGAAGGTAGCTGTATGTAATGAAACTAAGCTTTAGTGAGAGAATATTAGGAAACAGAGAACTTCTGATTTTTTAGTTCTAAGAGAAGTAAAATTCTTATATTGATGGAAAGGAGCATTTTAAGGTGTGTGACAGGACTTTATAAGGATCTCTGTCAACTGAAAAACATCACTTTAACCAAGGATTAAGTGAGGCACAGCTTGAAGGTTCTCTGGTGTGGAGGGTGAAATCATATAAGCAGATATGAGGACTAAAATGCAGTATTTTCATTTTGATTATGATTGCATTATTAAAACAAAGCTCTGCGATCTAATTGATCCTAACAGTATGTATAAGTTTGTAATGGCTACTGTAGTGTTTTAACAGAGAATAGGGTGGCACACAATAGGCCTTATTGAGACTGCAGTAAATTAATGCCGGAATCAACAAAATATCTATATATCAGATAGCAAGGAGATTAAGGCTTCTATCAGGAAGCCTCTACACAACATAAATGCCTTAATAATTGGCAAGAGACCACAAGGAAGGCCAAAAACCAAAAATATAGATCAAAACGGATAAGTGAAAAGAAATAGCCGAAGATAGCAGTCTGGTGAAGGCAGCATGAGGTATACAAAGTCTGTAATCCCAACAGAAAAAAATATATATCGTATATTATCAATTTTTTTTCAAAGGTAGAGAAATATATCTAGTACACTGGGAAAATAGAACAGGGAAGTAGTTTTACTTTAATACTTGGCATTATACTTTAATAGTGATGCCAAAACTATTAATAAACTCTAAATTCTGCATTAATTTATTTCAAATGGATATTTTTAATCTTGCTCTAAAACAAAATAAATAATTCATTAATTGTAGAATGTGTGATGTTTCTTTAAGAGATGATTTTGAATTTTTTATTTATTCATGTGCTATTAACCATTAATTAGTTTTTGTTCTTATATTATATAAAAAAAAAACCTTGGATCTGGAAGCCTCTACATAACAATGAATGCCTCAATAGAAGGCAAAAGACCATGAATAGATCGAATCAACAAAGATGCAACAGAACTGCACGCAGATAAATGGAAAGAAATATCCCAAGACAGGCAGAGATGGATCAGGTTTGTTAAGGTGGCAAAAGATCTACATGGTCTGCAATGCCAACTGAAAAAAAAAAATGATTTTTCAAAATGTCCTGGATTAAATTAGATAACTTGTTTACAATTATTTTTCTATAAATAATCCTTCGGATTTGTAAGACTTATTTTTCTGTCATAATTAATCCATTATAAAATAATTAAGCAATTTAACAGAAGGAAGCTATCCACATTGGAAATGTTTTGAGTAAACTCAAGTAAATGTTAGATGGCATTTGAAAATTTTATGCTTTCAAGTATGAACATTTGCATTTGTCAAAAAATAATTTTATTTTACAAATTATTCAACATAAATATTGCTATTATATGAATATATTGGACAAAAATGATTATATTAAAAGTTTGTTCTAATGCTTTTTTTTTTCAAATTATGAAAAAATGTCTATTGCCAATTAACTTTTTTTTCCAACTTTGATTTATCAATTAAGATATTTGAACCAATAGATATTTCTTTTCTGTAGGAAATAGTTAACAACTATCCTATTCGAAACAAGGTCAAACTCCTTTTCACATGTTTTTTTTTTTGGAATACAAATAGTTGTAAATACCAACATAAAACAAAAATTAATCTTTGAACTGTCACACATTGTCTTTAGTTCTTTAGTTGAAAAGAATTAAATTCAGAAGCTACCAGGTATGCCTTCGACATCTATCTTTTTGAAGAATATCTTTATCTACAGGTAATTCAATAAATGTTGTTATCATAATTATAGGATACCCTGACATAACAATACAAGAAAAACTTGTAAAAAATGAAATATAAAGACAGTGAAAAATGAATTAATCCGAATTTGTTTACTCATAAATATACGGTACAGTAGCATGCATAATCAATTTTATATAAATTGAAATAATTTAGAAAACATTATTACATTTTTTTTTATAAAGAAACCTGAATGTTTAATCTAATTGTAAGTTGTCTGTTTAAAAAACTCTACTATCGAAGTTTTATCAACTTAAAAAAAAAATTACCCAATAATATCTGTTTTTAAATTCCTTAGCTAAATATTTTATCCTTTTTCAAATTAGAAAATATGGTATCTGCAGATTTATTTGATATAACTTTATGTTTATATATTTTCATTTGTAATATTGATAAAAATGTGAAACATTATTTAAATTTAGTTTTATTGAGCACTACCATACCTATTTACAGAGCTATTATATCATAGAAATATATTTATAATACAGACATTTACTAATACATGTGAGTGTCTTGCCGTCTTTTCTTTTATTTTCTTTATTAAAGTCCATAATAATATTATTATTATAGTCAATAATTAATTATGTACGTTGATTAAGACATTTAGCCAATCCTGATTCATGTTTTCCTGATTTTAGTAGATTTTCGTATTTGCTATTAGTTTGGTAAATCATTAATATAATATTTGATGAAATATTGAATACACAATATCTAAATCTATAAACTAAATTTTAAAAAACTTTTCATATCTTACTATCGAAAGATATGTTTGTTTCTTATCTTATCTAGAGAGCGTTTTTATGTTGCATAAAGTCATTTTTATGAGTAATGATTAAAAAAAAATTAATATAATTTTTCAAACAATATAAAGATAATTAAAAAAATCTATTTTATTCTTTTTAATATTTTTTTTCCCCATTATTTTACCACTATATATATATATTATGTTGAACATTTTTAGCATAGAAAAATTAAATGCTTTATAAGACCCAAATCATTATATATCTTAATAAGCCCTTCCAGAATTAAATCCATATTTTTTAATACTATTGTAATTTTATCTTAATCTTCCAATACTCACAATACTTGAGATAATGATATTTCATTTAGGATGTGAATGAAATGCATATCACTTTATATATTAATAATAGTCTTTAGCATTTATTTTAGTATGTTTCAGGAATTAAAAATATCCTGGAAATAATATTATATTGAGTAGATGTTGAGTAGAAGTCCTGTTTTAGTTATGTTTGATGTTAACAGTGAGCTCCTAATTCATTATAAAATGTATACTTTCAAATTATTATTCTTGTAAAGATCATAATTCAATTATTTTCATCATTATATTTTCGTATTAATAAATCCTAATATTAATTTCCAAAATATTTTATATAATAGAAACACTGTAATGAAAAAAAAAACAATCTTATATTTTTATTTTTATTTAAGTTTTTGCCCATCATTTTCCAACTCTTGAAAATTCATTTATTTGATATTCAAAACTTTCATCATATAGTTTAGCTTTAAATCCAATTGAATGCTCAAGGTCTGATTTGTCTAAACAAATAAATACCAAACATAATTAAAACCATTTCGAGAAGGATTTTTTGATAA